ATCTCTATATTTATATGAATATACATGCTTATCTGGTCTATACACCCTCTATTCTTCTATTACATTCCATCCATCTATCGGATGCGATCATGAAATTCCATCTATCCGTCCTGCGCACCCATCTATCCATCATCTATCTATCCATCCATCTATCTATCCATTCCATCTATCTATGCCATCCATCTAATCTATCCATCCATCTATCTATCCATCGCATCTATCTATCCATCCGGATACTATGCATCATGCCATCTATTGCATCCCATCACTATGCATCCATGCGGCATCTAATGCATCCATCTGCATCTATGCCATCCACCATCCATCCTTCCATCCGCATTCATCTATCCACCCATTTCATATTCTATGCCACCCATTCATCTATCCACCCCATGTCTAATTCTAATCCAGTGACCATTCATTCTATCTATCCATTCCATGCTATCTTATCCATTCATTCTATCTATCCATTCATCTATCTATTCTCATTCATCTATCTATGCCTCTCATACTAGTCATCCATTCATCACTATCCATTCCATATCATCTATCCATCCATTCATCTATGCCTATCCATTCATTAATCCATCCATTCATGACTAATCCATCCATCATGCTATCCATTCCATTCATTTCATATCCATCCATTCATTCTATCCATCCATCATCTATTTATCCTCCATCCATCTACTCGGGCTTGTAACTCTTGTTTATTCTGATCCGAGCAGAAATAATTGCTAATACTTCCCCTCCCCAAAAAAAAACATTTCCTCTGATAAACAAGGACACACACACACACACACACTTACACAGACACACAACACACACACACAACAGCACACACACACAAGAAAAAAAATCTGAAGTTGGATGGTGGGGGGGGGGATAAAAATGGTGCCAAGAGGTAAGAGAGGGAAAATAAACGTTTTATGGTCCTTACGTAAATACACATTTTCAACTTTTTCCACTTCGTCTCACTGAATGACTACGAAAGTGTAATATCTATAAAATCCGAATAAGAGAAGAGAGAGAGAGAGAGAGAGAGAGAGAGAGAGAGAGAGAGAGAGAGAGAGAGAGAGAGAGAGAGAGAGAGAGAGAGAGAGAGAGAGAGACGAGAAGAGAGAGATGAGAGAGAAAGAGAAGAGAGAGAGAGAGAGAGAGAGAGAAGAGAGAGAAGAGAGAAGAGAGAGAGAGAGAGAGAGAGAGAGAGGAGGAGAGAGAGAGAGAGAGAGAGAGAGAGAGATGAGAGAGAGAGAGAGAGAGAGAAGAGAGAGATGAGAGAGAGAGGAAGAGAGAGAGAGAGAGAGAGAGAAGAGAGAGGAAAGAGAGAGAGAGAGAGAAGGAGAGAGAGAGAGAGAGAGAGAGAGAGAGAGAGAGAGAGAGAGAGAGAGAGAGAGAGAGAGAGAGAGAGAGAGAGAGAGAAGAGAGAGAGAAGAGAGAAGAGAGAGAAGAGAAGAGGAGAGAGAGAGAGAGAGAGACAAGCAAACGAGAAATGAAGAACGAAACTTTTTAAAATTCTTTTTACTAAACCTTTGAAACATTTTTCTCCTCCTCCTCACCGATTCACAAAACGAAACGAGAAATGAAACTAAGAAAAATAAAACGAATACGATGAAAATAAATAAAAAATAAAAATAAAAAAACCTAGCCAAGATGGCCGACCTAGATAATTTCCCCCTACATTTTCCCCTGAAAAACTTTTTTAACGGCCATACTTACAGGTATTTTGGTAGGGAATTTCGCCCTTATGTTCGCCACCTCCTCCTTCCTGGTCACTGCGGAGAGGAAAAACATGTTAGAAAATCCACAAATTATAAATAGAACGTTTAAATTTGCATATTCAATCTTTGCCAAGGGCGAAGAGTTTAGTAAAAGAAAAAATATCTATATTTATATCCACATTAATATATATAATGATAATCCGGCAAATACCGATAAAAATATCACGTATTTAACATGTATACATATACATGATAGATAAAGATAGACTGATAGATGAAGATACATACAAAAACAAACAAAACAAAAAAACAACAAACACAAAACTTAAACACACACCCTATCAATTTATCTAAAAAAAAAAAACAACTTAATCCTCATTTCAAAAGAACGATTGAAATAAGCAAACAAATAAAACCAAACATTAAGCGCATAAAAATAGCTTGCAACACCAATGCTTAATCACCGATACTTTCAACACGCCCTGCAGCCCGGAATAGGAAGGGGGGGGGGGGAGGAAAGGAGAGAGAGGGGGGGGATATTGAGAGGGTGCCTGGGAATAGGGGGGAAATTGAGAGGGGGGGGGAAAGAGGGGGAGAGAGGGAAAAGGAAAAGGGATGAAAGGAGGAAAGTGAGAGGAGGGGGAGAAAGGGGGGGAAGTGAGAGGGAGGGGGGAGAAAAGGGGGGGGGAAGAAAGTGAGAGGGAAAGGGGGGAAAAGGGGGGGAAGTGAGAAGGAAGGAAAAAAAGGAAAGAGAGGGAAGGAGAGGGGGAGGGGGAAAGTGAGAAGGAAAGAAGAGAGGGAGGAAAGGAAAAGCGGGGAAAGGGGGGAAAGAGAGGAAAAAGAGGAAAGAGAGGTGGGGTTATAAAAAAGGGAAACCAGAGGGGGAAAAGGGGGAAACTGAGGGAGGAGAAGAAGAAATGGAAAGCAGGAAGAGGTAAATGAAAAGAGGGAGACAGAAGAAGGGGGAACGAGGGAGACAGAAAAGGGGAAAAAGGGGAGACAGAAGAGGGGGGAAAGAGGGAAAGGGAGAAGAAAAAACGAAGACGACGAAGATGAAGAAAGAAAAAAAGACCTAAAAGAAAACCGAGTAAAAAAAAAAAAGAATCAAACGAAAAACAAAAAAAACGAGAAAAAAACCAGAAGAGAAACCGTAAAAAAAGGAAAAACAAAAACAGGTTAAGTAAGAGTAATAACAGGAAGGAGAAAGTCCAAATAAAAACGTAAATGCTCACATGTTGCAAGACCCGTGTTATCACCGCCTTAACTGGGGTAATCATGCAAAACTAACCCTTACGTAAGACCCACTTTCCTCCCAGCTAACCATCAACTGTAAAATATCACCCCCCCCCCCCCCCACCCCTCCTCCTCCCTCTTCCCCCTCCACCCTCCTCCCCCTCCTTCATCCTCTCCCACTTTCCCCCCCTCCACCCTCCTCCCCTCCTCATCATCCCCCTCTCCATCTTCCTCCCTCCTTCATCCTCTCCCACTATCCCTTCTTTTCCTCTTCCTCTCCCTTCTTTCCCTCTTTTTCCTCCTCCTCTCCCTCTTTCCCTCCTCCACCACCCCCCCGCCTACACATTCTGCCTAACTCCCTCCCCCACCCTCCCTTTCCCCTTCCCCTAACCCCCTCCCCCACCCCCCTTATCCCTCCCCCACCCTCCCCTATCCCTTATCCCTTCTCCCACCCTCCTCCCCCTCCACCCACCTGTTAAAAAAAAAAAACCGAAAAATACGAAAAAACTAAAAAATCAAAAAAAACCAAAAAAAAAAAAAAAAAAAAAAAAAAAAAAAAAAAAAAAAAAAAAAAAAAAAAAAAAAAAAAAAAAAAAAAATCTCCAAAATCATCAACTTTTCCCCTCCGAGAAGACCTGTCACCGCTGGACGCCAGAGCTCGCGGATAAAACGAGGGCGGAGTGACTCGCGGGATAGTTAAAGCATGGAGGGTTAGCTTGGCGGAGAGGGAGAGGGAGGAAGGGAGGAAAGGAGAGAAGGGAGGAAAGGGGAGAGGGAAGGGGGAGGGGAGGAGGGGAGGGGAGGAGAGGGGAGGAGAGGAGAGGGGAGGGAGGGAAAGGAGGGAGGGAGGGGGGGGAGGAAGAGGGAGGGGAGGAAGGAAGGGAGGAGGAAGGAGGAAGGAGGGAGGGAGGAAAGGAGAGGAGGAAGGAGGGAGGAGAGGAAGGAGGAGGAAGGAGGGAGGGAGGAGGAAAAGGGAGAGGGAGGAAAGGAGGGAGGAGGGAGAGGAGGGAGGAGGGAGGAAAGGAGGGAGGGGGGAAAGGAGGGAGGAGGAAAAGGAGGGAAGGAGGAGGAAGGGAGGAAGGGAGGAGGAAGGGGAGGAAGGGAAGAGGAGAAGGAAGGAGAGAGGGGAAAGGGAGGGTAGGAGGAGGTAGGGGAGGAGGTAGGAAAAGGGAAGGGAGGAAGGGAATAAAGAAAGAGAACGGGAGAGAAAGAACGGGAAAGAGAACCGAGAGAAAATAACGAGAAAGAGAACGAGAGAGAAGAGAAGAGCGATTTTAGAACGCGATGGACCAGAAAAACAGACAGATAGCAAAAGAGAGAAAGCCACCGACATTCACCCAACACAGATCACCCAAACCAAGAAAGGTCATCCAAAGGTCATCCAAAGCCACAACAGATCCACGTAACCTCATCACACGTAAGGTCAACATCCAGGGTCAAAGGCGACAGAGAAGTCTAGCCGAAACTGACCTCGGAAGGAGGAGAAGGAGGAGGAGGGGAGAGAGGGAGGAGGGGAGAGGGGGAGGGAGGGAGGGAGGAGGAGAGAGAGGGAGAGAGGGGAGAGGAGAGAGGAGAGGGAGAGGGAGAGGGAGAGGAGAGGGGAGAGGGAGAGGAGAGAGAGAGAGAGAGAGAGAGAGAGAGAGAGAGAGAGAGAGAGAGAGAGAGAGAGAGGAGAGAGACGAGAGAGAGAGAGAGAGAGAGAGAGCAGACGGGTCATAACCTTGACCTTCGAATGCATGGAGGGAAAAGAAGAAACAAAGAAAATAAAGAGAGCAAAAGGAAGAGGATAATGACGAGCGGAATGAGGAGGGAAAGTGATGAGGAAAATGAAACCGGAAAAAAGAAGAAAAGGAAGAAAATCCGAAAAGAAAATGGAAAAAATCAGGAAAAAGTGTAACAATA